TGCAACAGAATGTTACACTTATGGGACAGTGGTTTTGTTGATACGTTATTTATTCTTCAGACAGATTATTGCTCACTTGTATAAAGCAAAAGAGATTAGTAATTACTTTGTTATTATCTATGTCTGTGAGCATGACGGAACAGTCACGTGATCATGGAGATCTGATCACCCCAACAGTGAGATCTGTGCAGGATTAAATTAATACAAATGGTCACACTTCATCTTAAACTCATCTGTGATCTGGAGTTAACAATTTAAATTTGGGGGATATTTATTGAAAAAATTAACACTATTTATTACTAGTTTGTTTCTAATGCTATTTTGATATTGCTTGTTGTTTACTAATCTTTTCTGTCTACTTAACTGGATTTTTATGTTAAAGCTGCATTTATAGAAAACAGATTCATTGGCTGGGAGAACAGTCCAAGTAATAATTTTTCTTCTGTGCCAACATGTTTCTTATCTTTTTGGCAAGACAGAAGAGAGAAATAAGATGAGTGATCCAGAAACTTAGGATTTGGGCTGGGCAAAAGGACCGTTAACTTTATCCAGATTCAGAATTCATTGGTGCAGTTTTATTTGGTACAAAAATATATTAGGTGGCAAAGCAAGAATGTTCACCATGTTTGCCTGAATTCACATTTACGTTGCTGCTGACAAACAGGACTGTTTGGAAATATTTTTATGTCATTATTACTCATTAAAATTGCTATTCTCTAGCTCGCAGCAAATAACTGTTCAAAGCTCTATACTGTTACAAAAAGGTATTTTATTTCATAGAAGTGATAAAGGCGTGGTTGGAAGCATTCATATAATACAAGAGACATGAGCAACACAAATCTTGTCTTCTGTTAAGCACAGAAGGTGGTTACTTAGGGCTTTTAAAGTTTAAATCCAACTGGGCAAGCCAACATACTTAACGCAGAGAATTACATGACAGAAATGACAAGCAAAGAAGAGACAGTAGGGTAGCATTTCATAGAGAATGAACACAAAGTGATATATGTATGTGAAGGTTGAACAGACTGACGTTGCAGAATTTAGAAAGAAGCGTAACAAAGGTGTATAGGAATATGTAAGGAGGACTTAGAAGTGATCTAGAAGCAAAGATCTTTCTAACAGGCACTGTCCATTCACCACAAGGGACAAAACCATGCAGAGTTCGTGTGAAAAGTGTTTTTCTTGAACACTTTGCTGTCAACAGTAACCAGCATACAACAAACACTTTTGCATTAGCTCCGAACATCTGACACTGTCTCAATAATTTCTGTGTAAAAGAAACGTGACATTCTGTCCTCTTGACTTCTGTCATCAGCAATATGACAGTCATAACTTGTATTCTGACATTGTTCTGAGATCTTAGAGAAATGCCATAACTTCTAAACTCTTGAGAAGCAGCCATGCAAAATATATGCTTCAACTTTAAAAAAAGCCATTCATCCACATTACTTGTACCAAAAAATGAATTCTATAGCTGAGATTATGTATGGTTGTAAAAAAAGTCCAGAATAAACACAAAAAAATGATGCTTTAAAAAAATTATTATTAACCTTGTTATTTTTTTCCATTTGAACATGCATTAGAAGAGTTAAACAGTTCACAAACAGCAGCAAGCATTGAAAACAGATCTTTTGACTTAAACTAAAATTATTAGATAGCTTTTTCCACACTCACCAAAATGAGAAGCCTGAAGTGTATGCCCTTCATAACTGTCATGGGCTAACATGTTATGGCCATGCCACTGTAACAGAAAAAGGATACAAGAACTCAGATTAATTGCAAGATACTATGCAGCAAACAAAATTAATGTTTAACTTCATGAAAAAGCAAAATTTTATTCATTTATTTAGCAAGATTTGCACTTTATCTCTCTCTTCATTAGATTTTTTCTCTGGTATTTTTTCCACCCAGATCCATATTCAGTTTAATGGTATATAATAGTAAGAAACACCACCCAAGAACATACGTCACTTTCATTTCCCCATTCATGTTTCCCCTATCTAGTTTGGAATTAGGATAAGAGATATTTTTCTTCCAAACTTCTGCTTATGCACAGCAGATGCCAGTAAACTGAGAATAAACCTGTTTCGCACTGGAACTTCAAAACTACAGCTCATGAACCACCCACCAACATTTAAGTAGGCAAAAAATACTGAAAAGGTCTTTTTACAGTCCTGTTTAACACAGATGCTTGATCTTTTTGTACTATACAACACCACACTCTGCATGTACAACACCAAGCTGATGAGATCACTTTCTACAATTAACCTCTGCAAATACTCTTATTCAGGTCTCACCTAGGGAGATCGTGCTTTACTGACTATATTTCCCATTATATCGTCTTCCTAAACCAAGACTGAATGTGGCAAATTGATGGTCCACGCACCACGCTCTCAAGACCAGCACATTTGGACTCCTCATCAAGAGAGATAACGAGCTCCAGAGCCAAGGGACCTCTGCTGTGAATGCCCTACCCACAGATGTTTAGCAATCGTAAATAAGGGCTAATCTCAGCTCTGGTGACAGCACATGTGGAGATAGAGTTCTCTTTGCTATTTTATTGATAATGTATCCATCCAAAGTCCTACAGGCATGCTGAAAATGCTAATTAAAATTTGTATGCATACTCCTTGGAACAATGTCTAGGACTAAAACCCCTCCCAAAATCTTTCTCTACCCAGAAATCAGAGATCACCCAAGCAGGCTTTTCTCTCCTGGTAGCCTTGAGGTTGGCAAGCTACCCTCATAGCATACCCCACAGAGAGGGAGCCTGGAGGTCAAAATCTCTTTCTGTGGGGGAGGTTGTTCCCATTGTGCAGCAATATGAGGCACGTTCCCCCAGAACAGCTCTCCCAACTGCCACCAGATCATTTTCCTATGTTTCAGTCTCAGTAGCTGCAGCTGCCACTATTTACCTCAGAGCACCAACCATACGTGTTCTGTTTCCACTGGCTATGGATTTGTGCTTACCTGGCAAAGTTATTCCACTTGAAAGCAAGAGGAATCAGTTGGAAATTAAAAAACAACAACAAACCCAAAACAAGCAACAACAACAAAGTCAAGACCAATGTAGATACCTGCAGCTATTTAGCATAAAAAGCTTGAGGTTGCCAAGAATTTTTAGAGTCCATCCTTAGTATCTCTTTTTTGTAAAATGGGATTTCAGCCTAGAGAACTATTTGCTGTATTTGAAAATTTCACCTCCATAATAATGTACTAATGCAAATTTATTAAAAAACATTACATTGCATCTTCAGAAAGCTTTGCTATAACCATTTCAGAGTCTCCCAAGTCATACAAAGCCTGTGAGTTTCTCCTGGGAGACACTTGCTGAGAGGAACAGTGTTAAGAAAAATGCTGAATTCACCACATGCCTTCTGCTCTTTGAAACACCCAAATAGCTTGGATGTGTATATGTAAGCTTCTGTGGAAAGCATTGAGTAAATATATCTACTTGATTTCTATAGTTTTAATATGCTTTAGATCATTAGTCAAGCTTACTGGAGAGCAGCAGTAGTTTTTGAGCCTTTTCTAGCAGCCTCTGCCACATTGAAATGAAGATGTTTAATATCAGTAATGACATTACTCCATCTTCTTATGCTGTATAAGTCTTACTGATATTTATCCCATGGTAGTTATTAAAAAGTAGGCATTTCTTTCAGCAGCAGCTTAAGCAGCTCCCTTTTGGCCTGTCGATGCCCCATCCTCTCCTGCTTACCGGGTGTGCTGGTGCAACTTGTGGGATAGCAGCAGCAAACTCAACAAGTTTCCCAAGTGTGGGGAGAATTAGTTATGATCCACTCAGTCTTAAGCCACTTACTTATTTTGGCCAGGATACATCTGTAGTTGATCACCCAACTCCATCCATAGCCCACTCCCCATTCTGCAGCTACATAAATGTCTCATTTAAAGTGCTGCCTCCCTGGTAGAGAGAAAAACCAAAAAAAACTTGTAAAAAAGTGATGTGTACCTATTTTAAGTGAACGGTAAGCATATTATCAACTTCTGTAACAAGAGACAGCTACCATTTTGCATACGCTCTTCCACTGGATAGCTTCTTATGGCTCTGCTTTCTCCTAGGCTTAAGTTCATATGCTACTTTATACTGTAAGATTAAACTGAGCTCCTTAAATAGTTTTTGCATGAAGTTATATGTACTTATTTTATTTTTTTTTAATTTTGAGGGGGGGGAAGTGGAACCCATTACACAAACTTGGCTACATGAAAGCAACTCATGGGGAATGACAAAGAGAGCACTTACCTTAAAGTAATAATAAAAAAATTTCCAACAGTGATTTATTTTCCCCTTTTTTTGCCATCACTACAGATAAGGACAATGGTGGTAAGAGATTGTGCCTGTTACTGTCCCACTAAAGTTTCTCAGTAGCGTTCCAGCCATACCACTATGCCCAGGTATGATACCTCAGTCTGCTGATTTCATTACAAGCCATAAAGAACAATTATGGAATGTGACTAGGACCAGCATTAAGTAGCCCTGGGAGCCTGCTCATATGCCACACCTGAGCAAGTAACTTTTTTTGAACCAGTAAACTTGTTTTAGCAGGATGCATAGCTCTTATCCTAACTTTCTAAAGAAGTCTTAGGAGTATACATTGAAATAGCATGATTTTAAAACTTTT